TTTAATGTAAAATAAAATAAATAAATATAAAAAAATTTACTTGAAGAAATCTCTAACTTAATATTAAGGGAAGAAATATATTATTTTAATTATTTTCATCAAATATCAATGAGGTTGAATGTCTTATTATGTTTTTAATTTCTTTTAAAAATACTAGTTGTGTACCCGCGCAATGCGGCGGGATTTAAAAAGTTTACTAAAATTTATTCAATTTCGAAACATCAAATTATTTCAAGATGTCATAAGTCTACAACATTTGTAGCAAAAATAGATTCAAATAACTTTCAAATTATTAATAGCTTCTACGATCATCTGTAAAAAAAAACCTTTTATGTGGAATGTGTATAATTTTAAACCCCTTTATAATTGTAATTATATGTGTAAGGAATAAGATTAGAAGTGACCATCGATCCCATTRAGCAATCAATCTTATTGACAATCCTTTCTAAGGCAATATATCCAAACAAATTGATTAACAATTACAAGATCATAAACTTTTTGGGCCATTCCAAATCCTAAGTGAATTTTTATTCAAAATGATTAACAATTACAAGATCATACAAGACCAAATTTTACAAAAAGAATGTGTCAACGTCGTCAATATACAAAATGAGGAATATGTTTTGAATGAGACTTAACTCGACATCCTAATGAATCCAATTCCAATCAATCCAATTCCCATTTCTTCAGCAACAACTTTAACCTGTATGGCAAGTCCCACATGAGTGCAACTGCCAATCTCAAGGCATGGTTAAGCATATGTGACTGTGCTATATAAAGATTAAATAATCATGCACATAGAAATTTCCAAAATCCAACATATGACAGAAAAACAAAATAACAATGATGAAACTTTGAAGCTAKAGTAGCAAAAAGCCATACAGGAACTTTGCAYTTTTGCAGGTGGCATCTAAGTTTGCTGGATATAGTTACAAACAAATTATGTGATGGAAAAGTAGTAATAMTGATAGATCATGGTGAAACAATAATARCACGAAGAATGATTATACAKCGAATCTAGCACTGGTAACATGAAACTGCTAATGCACCCAACTCTTGCCATGAACACAYATGTAAAAAACATAATTTAAATTAAATCCAAAATATGACATTTCTTTTTCAAGAAACTGGCCAATCTACCTAAATAGGCAAGTTTGCATGTTCTAATCCAGGACCATGAATGCAATTAAACTTGTATGTGGAGAGACATTCCAAGTTTCAAATTTCGATAAGCAAGAGTTGCCTGCACAAGTTCATGTAACATCAAGCTACAAACCTGGTAAAGGTGTGAATTAACTTCTACACAAGTTTGATGGAGAGTTTCAACAGGAGCACCACTAAGTTCAAATTGACCACCAGGTTCAGAGATATACTTTGTTTTTCCTGAAAAAGAGTAACATAAATTATTTATAATGAMAAAAAGAAACAAAAAGGGCAAAATTGTTTTAGAATTAAAACAGGCAAAGAGCGTTGAATCAACATTTTGGCAGCCAACCATCTATTCCTATGTTGCCAAGGATTTTTCAATATCAAATTTATATCATTTTTGGACTAAAATTGGTGATATAAGATGGGGCTTATCAGGTCTTAAATGATGCATGAGAACATAATATGAAAAATACGAYGTACTTGTTTCCTTAATCTCGACCTTATGGCAGATTCTCGATCAAACTGTCTTTCTCCTCTCCCTTTTCAGTTCTCGGTCAATCTGCTCATAATTATTCACATGAAACAAAATTTGAGTTAAATCTAGAGAGTACAATTTGCATGTAATTTGTTCTAAGCTCTAATRCTTTCACCTTTCTTTCTAGGTCAACATTTTCCTATGAAATTACTGTGATAAGACCCAAAGAAATGTTACTTAGAAAAACACACAGAAAACWACAAAACAAGCAGTAGTTYAAGATTGTTTGGGACTGTTTTGATACAAACCAACAGTAGTAGACTRTTTCTACAGCAAAACAAGTTGTAGAAAATGTTAGACTGCATATGTATGATAAGAATGTTTGAATTGATGTTGCTTCATAGACTATAGACATTGGCCAAATTAGCCAAACCAAACAGACCCTAAYTTAGGTGCCGTTTACCAAACACTTACCCGAGTAAGCGTTTACCAAGTCACATTACTTTACCGGATGAATATAGCAAGGATTAAAAATAGTACCCGGTAAGAGCGAAAACAAGCAGCAAGAGTTGTACCCGGTAATTAAGGGCAAYGACTCTTACCATGGTTAGCGCTTACCGGGATAAATTGTTGCATACGATGCGTTTTGGTGAATAAAATCTTATCCAATAAGTAAGCGATAGTGTTAAATTTTACCGGTAGACACTTACCGGTAAGTGTTTAGGTAAACGACCCATTACCCTCATTGTGTTTAGACTTCAAAGTAAACTGGACATGCATGTGATCTTAAAAGAACAACATAAGTTACGAACAGTTAAGAAAAATTACTGTGAGTATAATGGACTCTTAGCATTGCATTTCTAAAGTTAAGACCCTAACTTAATGTTTTTAAGACTTTTTTTAAATCTGGTTTATAATGTAGTATATATTAGTTACCTCTAAAACTTGAATTGTATCCTTTCCTCTTATAACTTGGCTATAATGATGATAATGGGTAGTAGTTGAAGGGAGAGAATGGTTTACTTGTACAAATGGAGGTGGTTTATACAATGACTGATCCAAAGCCTTGGAATCCCACTGTATATCAGATTCAAGTGCAACCTCTTGCATCATTTGAAGCTTCATTTCCTTAGTGGGAGGGTCTGRTTTCAACTTTTTGACAAACTAATCACATGATTGTTTCCTTTTTAGTTTTGAAAACTTAATTAAAGTAGAAGATATATCTTTTATATAAAAACCATGCTTTAAGAAGGCAAGCACCTCTTGGTTGACATAAGGTTCAAGATAATTCCCACATCTCTYAGTAAATAAACTTCTGACTTCCCTCAATTCAGGCAAATCAGCAAATCTTGCAGCAGCAAAAATCAAAGATGGAATAGCTTCCTTGCATTCCTCAGAGCRTTCCTACAGGTGACAAGAATCGCTATAAATTTCAAATTTCACATGAACCTGTTAAATGTAGTTATGAACCTGTTAAATCAAAGATGGGGGTGGTTTGATTTCATTCAACACTTGAAACCATAAATCACGCCCATTACTTCGAAAATTTCTTTTAACAGGATTGAACCTGGCTCTCTCAAAAAGAAGCCAAACTGTCCAGTTTGATTCGGTTTGGCAATTTCAACTCATACACCCCTAGTATATTGTACAAACATGTGATCCCAGCCAGCAGTGCCAAAAATCTTGTTATTCGAGCAAATTGAAGTTCCAGCTATGTCGGGTCGATCCAAACTAATTTCCTTCTTCACCACACAAGAACCCTAACATATGACAGTTTATCCTTTTAACCCAAAAACACACACACACACACGTATATGAAAGTTTGGCTACAATAAACACCAACACATAATATAAATCGCTAAGGTTTTGAAATGGAAATGGACAATACTTCAAAGAAATCGCTAGGGAGCCGCGAAATGTAAATCAATACCTCAGGGAAATCATTGTTGAAAATCAATACTCCAAAACCCAGGTTATATGCACAGTCGTTTTGGGAGCCATGAATTTGAAGTCTGAACCGSTAAATTACTCCAAAAARAAGTTGAATGCAATGCTTACAACCTTCTTAACAAACAAAAATCTTAAAAAGATGATTACCTGATGATGCCAGAGAACTTTTCTCGCACAACTTTCGAACCAACACACATAATATCAGCAGAAGCCATCCTAGCCATCA